CCTCTGTCTACTTGCCTCTGCATTTGGGTCCTCAAACCAACACCAAATCCTGACATAGATTGTATTACTCAGATGTGATAAATAACTCAGTGATAAATAGAGATGCTCAAACTAAATTAAAACATGAAAAGAAATAGATCTTTTTGCTAAATACTCTATTTAAAGGCTGCTGTGATTTTCAAATATTTTTTTAAGGTTTTCATTCTGACTTTGATGGCCTTCAGGAGCCATGACAGCAAGTCCAACCACGATCTACTTACGAGGATGAGCTGTCCAAATGTGAGAATTGCCGGTCCAATTCTGATCAGCGTATTGATGATTGTACGAAACCTAGAAGAGTATACATTTGCTTGTTAGCTGGACTTAAAATACATAAATAAACACAGATGATCAGGTCACAAGACAAAGTAGTTGGAGAGACATGCATGGTAGAGATGCAACTTCCTGCTTCATTAATATCTAAAATGCTGCAGTTTTGTCTTTTTTTTTTTTTTTTAAAGCATGTGGATGCAAATAATATACTTCAATTCAGTTTATTTATATAACGCCAAATAAAAAATAATTTAATCTCAATCCACTTTACAGAGACAATTCAAGCAGATCATCCAGTCAGATTGGTTCAAAGTTTTCTATCTAAAGAAAACCAGTTGATTTCATCGACTCATTGACTCGAAGGCAATCCTTCACACTAAGCATGCTTGTAGCGACAGTGGAGAGGAAAAACTCCTTTTAACAGGAAGAAACTTCCAACAGTTCCATCATACTCCAGAGGATGAGAAGGGATTTTATATATTTTATGAAATAAGACGAAAACTACTCTGTGTAAGACAGGTCGAAATGTGAAATTCACATGACCAAAAAAGAAAAATGTTGCCTCCAATTTTCCAACAGAAAGAAGGTATTAGAAGATGATCCCCCATCAATGCATCACAGCAAACACCAGAATAAAACCTTTTGATGCTGTCCACCACCCGGATCAACCTGAGGACTCGCAGGATGAAGACAATGTCCAGAACCTGCCGGCTCGTGTAGCCGCCAGCTGCACCAGAAGAGAATATGTTGAGTTACGTAAGAGCATGAAACATGTTGCGATACAATACATGTTTATCCTGTGTTGAGCATTGGTTGCTTGACAAGAAAAATACAGAACATTCACTCTGAAATGTAAGGCTTTAAATAAAATACCAGACTATTTTACTGTAACGTAGACCAAAAGTATATTTTGCACATTTTACTCTTAGTAGCTAAAAAAAACTATAACGGCTAACTGGAGACAAGTTTTGTCACCA